TAGGTTACTTTGAACAATGCTTGTGGCATTGTCTTATTTAAAAAATATTGAACGGCCTCTATATCACAATTCACTTGAATTGCGAATAGTGAATGAAAATCTGATTGCTATGATAAATGCACGATGATTACCTATTTGTCACATTGTCAGATTAACGTGTATATTAGTAGATAAAAATTTGAATGAAATGGGTTGGTTTCAGTTTAAAAAGCCCAGCATAGGTTTCTTACTAAACATGTCTGATTTCTGAGCGGCGTGATAAAAACTTCTGTTATCGATATTCGTACCATCTAGAACCAAATTTTGTACTACAAGCTATTTTGTTACTTTTCGATATCTAGGATGTACGTACATTTTATATTGGCATTTCATTGTATGTGTTTTTATATCCTATATTATAATTTGTACTTTTCTAAAAGCTTCGCTGTGACAACTACCGATGCATAAAATTTACTAATTAATCTCTTTTTAAATGAAAGAGGAGTATGTTATCGATATTAATTATGTAATTAGCTGTATGAATTGATAATTACGAGAAAGATTATCTTTTTTAAAAGTTACTCTACTTTAGCATTGTAATTCACAGAATACTCAACTTAAAATCTTTACTTACAGTCGTTTACTGTTTTAGTTTTGAAAACATTCTTATAATTTTATATTCATGGAAGCAAGTCGTTCATTTTAATCTACGAGTAAGAAACGGACTAGTTTGTTCAAATTTGTTGTATTCAGGTATTTAGAATTTTTAGAAGTGTGTGGGTTTTTTTAAAATTTTATTTTACACATTTTTTGAAATGATAGTCACAGGGAGAAATTACAGTAGGAAGAAACAATCAAAAACTTACTAAGTAGATACGCGTAAACAATTTGTCAGAAGTGAGCCTATCCGGCTTTCCTAGATTTTGTATTTTGAATATTAAATGTATTTCCTTGTTTAAGCTTATTCATCAAGACCTTAAATCTTCCTACAATTTACAGTGCTGAGGCAAAGTTCCTACGGGGAAAGTTTTCCGACAATTGTGCTTAATATGTGAAACTTTTGCCAAATTATGGATTTTTAAAAATAAGAGACCGATTTGTTTTGTTTATTTTTTTTTACAGTTTACCTTACATAAGCGCATGGTATACCACAGGTAATCAAATCAGAGAATGTAACTAGGTCTTGAATACTCCAAAACAAAAGGTATGCAAAATATTGTATCTTATATTTTGACAGATGTTGTCGATTAAAACAGTTTTAGATAAGAAATGTTAAGGGATTCAATGGTTATACGCCATTAATTCAATCCGACCTGATCAGCAAATATCATGTTCATTTACCGGATACATGCATTAAAGTAAAATTGTGTTTTAGTGTGTGGAAGCATTAACTTGACATTTATCATGCATTAAACCGCCATAAATTGAGCTTTAATGGTCCCATGACATCAATAGATGTACAATAAATCTGTTAAAAGGACCTGTATATAATATACAATTAAACTTTCTTCAAAAATCATGAAAATAACAACTAAATTCATGTTAATATAAGTAAAATGAATACGTTTAGCATATATTTTAATATTTCATTCAAAGTTTCACAATTATGTCCTATAAATCATAATATTAAGCACAGTTTTCCGAAAACTTTCCTTGTAGGAACTTTGTTAGAAATGATAACGAATTTCATGCCTTCTGTCACACCATAGGAAGAAGGGCAGAAGGAACACAGCCTCAGCACTGTAAATTGTAGGAAAGTCTTGATGAATAAGCTTAAACAAGAAAATACATTTAATATTCAAAATACATAATCTACGAAAGCCGGATAGGCTCACTTCTGATAAAGTGAAAAAAAAATCGTTATAAAGAGTAAACTAATTCATCATAATGAATTAGTATCTCTTTAAAACGAGTTAATTTTCTCATGAAAACGAATTAGATACCTCGTTTTAACGAGTTGGTTATCTCGTTATATAAAGAGTTCGTATCTCGTTATAATGAATTAGTTATCTCGTTATAAAGATTAAGTTTTCTTGTTATTATTCTGAGAAAATTTAACAGCAATATAGGAAAAAAAATGGCAGTAGTTTTTAATCAATTTTGAATTGATGATTATCAGTAGAAGTTAAGTCAATTGATAAATTTTTGAAAATTTATTTGCACTAAGGTTTCATTATGATAAAGTTTTGGGCTCTCAAAAAATTGAAAAGTAAAGCAAATCTAAGTCAAACACATTAACATCTTAGTTGCATTACATTCTCACGGTGTTGAAAAACAATTCATAAGCAGTCTAACCAAATGCAAAAGACAATAAGCTAGTATGCTGTTGTTCCTTAAACTCTTTATTACATACCGATTTTTTTTTTACCGATTTTCATAGTATTTAAATAAAAGTTTGTGTGGTAACTGAATATCAAAGTCTCAAAGTACAGTATCATGAGCTTATAAACATGTATAAAAGCTAATTATTAAAATCCGTCCTCTCAAAATTCAAAAGTCATTAGTTAAACTAAACTGCCCGGGGTATTTTTTGCAAAAGTAGGTCAAAGGTCAAGGTCAAGTGGATTGTAATGCTGGTATTCTTCATAATGTCTTATGACAAACAGTGCACATGCTAATTAGCATAGGCTTACCTTTTAAATGTCAAAAATATGCTGTATATCGGCACTATGAAGAATTACTGTGGGTAAATACACATTACTTTGAGAATTCAGAGACATTTTTGTGAGCATTTTAAATTATTCAATGCCAGATTTGCAGAACCTGAGCTAGGATCGGACTACCTTTTTTGTAGAAACAGTTTTAACAAAGGTTAAATTTTGATAACCTTACCTAATTGTAACAGTTTTCAAAGTAAAAGATATTCTGAGCACAAATTAACAAATTAAAATGCAAACTGTGATGACAGGCTTTTTCATCTTGCCCTTTTTTCACAAGTATACAATGGAAAAGTGATATTCAAATTATTTTGCATATGTTTATAAAGTGCAGGCTAGCATAACTATGGTTTTCAGGACTGTCAGTTTCAGGCCACAACAATTAGGAACATTAACAAAATTTGGCTACTGTTAAAACCGTATATTTATATCCGCTCCTTTATTAATTGTGTATCTCATCATGGCTAAATCATGCAAGTTAATTCAAACGGTGTTATTGTAATTATTCAAACAAATTCCCTCTTTTTTTTTTCAATGTGTCATATTTGTGCACATAAGACTTATAAAGGTTTGAACATATTGTGGTCATTGAATAATCTTTATTATCTCTTGCACTATTTTCAATTGTGCAAAGACTCATAATCCTATGCTCTATTGTGTCCTGTTTAATTATGCTATGCTGTACTTCTGCTGGATACAAACCAAACTGACCTGCCCACATAGAATTCCACTGAACACATCAAAACACTACCGCCGTAAAACCAAACCTCCTGAGTGCATTTCATTAGGTTGCCTATAAACTCTAAATCCAGCAGGCCTCTGCAATGAAAGTACCTATATATAATTTTATACCATAGCTAGAGTTTTCGATGTCTGAAAGGGCATAAGCATTTTCCATTCATTTAAGAAATAAAATATCATTTTTAGAGTTTCATTGGGATATGATATGAAGTCGGTCACGTGATTAAATTCTATAACGCCCAAAGGGCGTTATAGTAGATTTGATCACGTACCGACTTCATGTCATATCCCAATGAAACTCTAAAAAATATCTTATTTCTTATATTTTACTTTTGTTCGTGTTACAAGAAAAAATAGGCACTATTTAGACTTTGTTATGGCAATGCAACATAACGAACCTACGACGTCATATAACGTCACAATCGGAACTTTCTAAATGGTTCGTGGTTTGCTTTCCAAACACAAGAAACTCTAATCATGTGATCAACTGCATGTCATTGAAATTGAATGTCAATTTAATTAGTATTGTCACATAAGGAAAAACATCAGCAAATGTAAATATTTTATTATCTTTTTCTTTGAGATTCTGTAAGTAAACATGAACGTACATGAATCATCATAACTTTGGCTCAGAAGAAAACATACGTCTGTATGTCTCTGGGGAGGACTCATTTAAAAATTGAAAAATATTTTATAAAAACAAAATATCAATTCAAAGTCCAAAGTATAGATTTGTAAATCTTTTTAATTTTGTTGATTTAAGTCTCATTTTAAAGAATTTTGGTCAAGGTGTCCTTTAGGGCAGGCCTTTCCAAAAAAGAGTTTGACACCTTTAGCAAGGAATTGATGCTTAAATTATTTAGCAGTCTGAGCTTAGGGGAGTCTTTTCCTCGGGTTGGAAATGATACAGATAAACAACAGTTTTAATAACTAACTATTTTTTAGGTTGATATGCTATATATTTTTGCAAATGGACACAATTATCAAAAAATAAAGAAATCATTTATTAAAACTAAATCGAAACAGCATCTCTTTGTGTTTCACAGTTCGAAAATAAACAAGAATTCTATTGTCTATATTGCTTGCTTGTTTTTAAAAAAGGTATCCGAAGAAATTTTAATCGCATATATACATAAATTCTGTAACACTGAATATTTTCGGAATAATACTGGAACTTGGAGCTTAAATAATTCTGCATTATTGTGTCTTTTTTCGCATTGTGGTTTGGATGAAAACCTGCAATGTAAATTCAATGCAATGCAGTGCAAATTCTTGATGACAAACAACAGACAATATAATAATATTTATTTTCCATCAGGGGTCCACAAGGTTTAAAAAACAGGCACTGCAACATTGATAATTAATAGTTATAATAAATAAAGTAAAACGAAATATAGCTGTAGAGAAGCAAGACAATTTTATGACTTAACACTCTATTACACGCAACACTAAACCAAAATATATCTAAATATATATCATACATTGTCACATACATACATACACACAAACAGATTTACCAATGCATAACAAAATATTCACTATTTCGTCTTTGCATCCCCCCCCCCCCAGAACATTAGTTATTACATATATATGATTCCTTGTTGCATTTCCGAACATTGGTTTTTATATATATAACTCTTTCTTGTCCTCCTGTGATGGAAAGTTAGACTGTGGTGGAATGTCCTGCTTATCATTAGTTATTGATTGTCTCTGATCACTTTTGGAAACGACGTGGACAGTGATGTTGGTCAGCAAGTTATGAAGGGCTCGCAACTGTTTAAACATAGCCCCTAATACCACTAACATAATTACAAAGATGGATACCTCTACCAAAAAGGATATACCAGGGAATATGTCAGCTGTAGCATTGTATATATTGACAAATACTAAAGGGCCTAAGAATTTGGATAATGTTTCTCCGCATGACACGAGAGAGAAAATCTTCCCCGCCTCCTCCACGTGCACAGCCTTACCAATCATGGAGCGCAGGGCGGAGGAAACCACACCAGTCAAGACACCAACCACAACAGAGACAACAATCGTCCATAATTCATCACTGACACCCATAAATATTAGTCTAGCGATTTGAGAACCAATAGCAAGCATCATGATTGTGACATCTGAAAGCTCTAACTTATTGCAGAGCAAAGGCATGATCAAAAGTAATCCAAACCCCATTGTTGCGTAATCAGATGACAGGAGATACCCATACCAAGACTTTGGCCAGCTTAAGGGACTTCTCGTTACAAATAAAAATTTAACATCTACCTCTCCAGCTCTACATGTTTGATTCACCACGGACATAATGAATAATATAATGAGAATGATTCTTTTGTTCTCTGAACGCGACTTAAACATTACTGCTATAGTCTCCTTAACGTTTGAAGGGCGGAACAAATCACATAAAGCATAGCTTGCTTCCTCGGCTCCCTCTTTATTATTTTTAGCCATTGAATCTTTCTTTTCCTTGGTTCCAGGAACTAGAACAATTGTTAAGAGGATCGCGGTCCCATGAAGCACCAAAATCGACGCAAAGGCGGAATTAATGTCAAGAACATCTTGAAATACACCAGAAAACAGCGCTCCCAATGTTAGACCAAAAAAGTTCATAGCAAGCAATCGTCCAAGATTCCTCGTGCGGTTTTTCTCCTTGGATAAATCGAATACGAGGCCATAGACTGCCATTGTAATCACAGACCTATTTCCAAACAATCCTTGTAGAGCAGAACCACTGAGAAAAATACCTATCCTGTACTCCGGAACCAGGTTGCTTGCAAAATATAACACCACTGCAAAAATGGTTCCCAGATTTGGTAGCACTGTGGGGATTTTTCTGCCGTATCGATCGCTGTATGACCCACAGAATAACGATACTGCAATGGCTGGAATATTTTGTAGTAGTCTATGATAAATCAGATAATTTCCAGATTGTTTCTGTATGATGTCTTCCAGTTCATGGTTCTTGTCTAAGTTCATACACATTGTGCTATTCTCATTATCCTTAAATATTTTATAGCATACAGCACGAACCAAATACGGTAGTGTCGTCGCATCCAACATGGACTCTCCAGTTTTATAGAGAAAGAAAACTATGTAGACAACGATGATACTCGATCCACACGACAACATTTTTCTTGATTGACTCCTCTTTCCTTCGTAGATGGACTGTCTATATGGGTATAGAGAAAATAAGATATGAAAGAAGAGGGTTTTTTTATCCCCCCCCCCCAAAAAAAAAACACGCTAGTATTAATGTGCAAAATATACTCTAGCAACCAGTAATTTTCTTAAATCTATTTGGAGAATTTATTGTTTCAGAGACTCATGGTCAAAAATATGTATTTGAGAAAAATAAAATGGAAATATAAAGAAAATTGAAGAAATACGACCACTTAGTTAAAAATTAAATTCAAATGTGAACCAATTTAGTTAAATTTATTTAGGGGGATCAACATCTCGGTGCATGATAAAAAAAAAAAAAACAAAAATCAAAATTAAAAAAAAACAAAAAACACCCCCCTTAAAGTTAGGTACTTAGGAAGGAAGGTGTAATTTTTGTTGACTCTTTGTGAATCAATTACCAGAATTATTACAATCTATTTTGTTTTCTCTTTCTCATATCAAATCAAAATTTTCAATTCATCTGTAGTTAAATAATTTGTCGAATAATACACTTTTGCAAACAAAACAATTAAGGTATTCAAAAACCTTCATTATATTTCTGATTTGTGCAAAAATGTACTGATTTGTAATTTTAAATTGAAAGATTAACTTAAATATATGAAAAAGAATCTTACCAGAAACGTCTTTAGAAAGTGTCTTCGGATCTGTGATATTTTCACTAAGATTCTTCATTTTATACTTTTTCAAATAGCCAATGTGACGTAAATGTTCCAGAATTCCACTCCCGGAATTAAACGGCTCAATGTAACAGACTTCTAAACGCCTATGCCTCGGTTAGCAATTCATATTTGTTGCCGTCATTTTAGAATGTCTTTTGTATCTTAGTTTTAAACAAATGTATTTTTTGTGGACCATGTTTGTGGGTGTTATCTTTATTTTAACTTTGTTGATACTGTTAATAATTTGATGTTCAAAAGCACAACAAAAGCATTATAAATTTTGTATTCCTGGCTAATTAACAGGGGTTATGGGTATTAAACCTGCCCTACCTTTTCTTAATTGGGAGGGGGAAGAGAGGGGGAAATGCGACAGGGGGTTCTGGTATGTTATGTAATTTACATTTATACAAGAGAAAATTGCTTTTGTTAAACGAGTTTTGAAATATGCATCATCTTGCACATTTTCACGCCTACATTTAATCTTTTATATGCATAAAATAACATTTCACGTTATCCAGTTCAATCAATTTACTGTTCATGGTGATCAGGAAAAAACAGCTGGTACAAAAATAAAAACTTAATATAATTTTAACTTCACAAATATTTTGAATGTTTCCATTTTTTTCTTTACTAATAAACGAAAAATTAGCAAGGCATACTCTACCACTTTATATTCTCTTGCTATTTTTTTCGTAGTGGTGTGTTCTTTGTTGTTGTTGAGCGTATATATATATATATATATATATATATATATATATATATATATATATATATATATATATATACAGTATATATATATATATATATATATATATATATATATATATATATATATATATATATATATATATATATATATATATATATATATATATATATATATATCAAAATACGCATTTTCCTGATGTACATACTTTTTCCCTAAGTAGCTCTATTCATATATACGAGAAGACTGATAATATCTAGATATTAAATAATTTAATTTGTCTTAATTCTTGATTTAAAAAAAACCCACATTCTTATATATTTTATTTCAGTTTCAATATAGAGTGGAAAAAATTAAGACAACCATGAATCATGTCTGAGAAATCATTGATATTTTTCCAAAGCAGATTTCACGTACATTCATTCTGCTTTGTCACCATAATTAAAACTAAGTCTGAAATACATCACTTAATTTACAAAGCTTGTGCAGTAATTTATTCGATAGCTACTGCAAAAAACAAACATACTAATTCGCAGTTCTCAACGGTGATTTAATTATCATTTAAGGAGGGATTCTTGTCTGGTCTCTGACTAGATGAAATATTCAAAGTATATTTTCTTATATGTCTTATATATTTAGATGTAAGTGATTTAAAAAATAATATTTTTTTTCTTTCCTCATCATAATTGTACCTTTAAATAGAAATGGTAAACTGAGTTTGAAATCTTTTTAAATAGAAGTAGGCATAGAATGATTGGCATCAGTAATTTTTTCTATTCTTAAGGTCAAGAAAAACATAATGACCTTGACGTTTACCTTACTTTTAAAATAAAACGGTCAAATTTAATCTAATTGATACCATCACTTATTGATAATGTCATCTTCAATCTATGAAAATTTCATTAATTTTTAAATACAAGAAATATAAGAAGAATCCCTCCTTAAGAAATACAGGACAGTCAGGGTAACGACATGGTGTTTTAATAGTAATTACCACTTCAAACATAAAAATGACCAATTACCCTACAATCTCAATCCGAAACCATAATTACATCCAAGCCAGCCTGGAATGTGAAAACGCTGAATTATCAACGTTTATGCAAAGATTTTTTTTTTTGAGAAAAAAAAATTGTAACAAAATTAGGTTCAAATTTATATATATATTTTATTGTGAAAACGATGAATTATCAACGTTTATTAGCAGACCTATTTTTGTATTTATATGAAGCAGAATTTGTTCAAAATCTTGTACGTGAAAAGGAGAAAACACTTGCTGTGGCCTTCAACTCGACATTTAGATATGTCGACGACGTCCTGTCAATTAACAATGGTTATTTCCATTCTTATGTAGATACGCTATATCCCAGTGAGCTTGAAATAAAATATACTACAGAGTCTGACACATCTGTTTCATATTTGGACATTTTATTAGAAAAAGACGTTAATGGTAATCTAACAACCAAGCTTTATGATAAAAGTGATGACTTTAACTTTTCAATCGTCAACTTCCCTTACTTATGCAGCAATATACCTTCATCACCTGCGTACGGGGTTTATATCTCTCAGTTGATTCGATACGCAAGAGCATGCTCTACGTATGAACAATTTCTAAAACGAGGTAAGATATTTACAAAGAAGTTGATGAAACAAGAATATCAGCAGTCTCGTTTAAAGTCATCATTTCGTAAGTTCTATGGTCGATACAATGACCTTGTCAGCAAATACAATTTATCATTAAGTCGAATGCTGACTTGCGTTTTTCATACTAATTGTTAGGCCATTATTTGCACACTGAATTGTCGACGGGTTTTTTCGTTATTACCCGATCATGACAAGGAGCACATGGCGGGTGTAACCGGTCGGCAGGGGAAGCTCACTCCTCCATGGCACCTGATCCCACCTCTGATGTTTAAGAGGTCCGTGTCTGCTCTGCTCCAAAATTTGTACTGTTTAATGGACTTTTGAGCTTGAATACTGTTCGTTATCTCCATATATTTCATGGAAAGATTTCTTTTTCAAAAAATAAATTTTAACAAAATAAGGTTCAAATCTATATATATATTATTTTTTCCAACTAACCGATTACAGATTTTCTAACCGATTGCCATCGTAGCCATCAACCGAGTAATCGGTTAACCGGTTACAAATTGCTATCCCTAACACACACACACACACACACCCTCACACACACACACACACCCTCACACACACACACACACACACACACACACACACACACACACACACACACACCCTCACACACACACACACACACATATATATATTCACCAGACTACACCCGATAGACCGGACGCAATTCATAGCGCTCCGGATTTCTTTGTTCACAACTGTTTATAAACTCCAAATTAAACATGTAACATTGTAAATATTTAGTGTTTGGTAGTTTAGTAGTAGTGCTAGTTGTTTTTGCTTCTCTATTTCCTTTGTTTTTATGACTTCTTAACTTTTTTCTTTGTCCTGAGGAAGGGACAGGTTGTCCCGAAAATTTGACAATTATTATTATTATACTTTCATGTTAAATACTAAAATCTGATTGGTTTAGAAGCATTTAACAATCCGTAATGTTACCCTCAGCGTTAGCAACATACTTGACAACGGGTAACATTACGAAAATATCACATGCGTTCAAATCATGCGCGTACGGTTCACCGTAGAATTCTCAAAACGTCGGTTGTGCGTTTGAAAGAAGCCAAATAAACGACGTCAATTAAAGCTTGCGTCCGATGTAGCTTACTTGAAACAACAAACGACAGACGAAACATCCTTGCGAGTGCAAACTTTAGATGATAAAGGACTTTTTGAGTAGCAAACAAACAATAAAGAGGTTGGTAAATCTTTTCCGAAGCTTTCTTATTGAGAAAATAGAAGCGGGGAGTTTGAAAGCTTTCTAAGCGTAAACTTAACGACGATCTCCGAATTTTTTTTTATGACATCCGAAATTAATAAGACATTCAGTATAATAAAATAAATAGTGCACGTTTTTGAGGGTAACAGTTGAAATTGACACCCCTCGGAAAACCATTGTCAACCTCCGCTGACGCGTCGGTTGACAATGGTTTTCCTTGGGGTGTCAATTTCAACTGTTACCCTCAAAAACGTGCACTATTTATATATTGTTCGTGTCGTTGGTCATTTTTAGTGCTTTATATATATATATATATATATATATATATATATATATATATATATATATATATATATATATATATATATATATATATATATATATATATATATATATATATATATATATATATAAACAATTTTTGACATGCACTACCATTAAGGACAGTCACTTTATTTCGTTATAACGATTTCTTATCTCATTTTCACTATATTTTTTTTTAATCTCGTAATAACTTTTTATCTTAATTTAACTACTTTTTATTTCGTAATGACAACTTTAATTTGACCCGCTAGCTTTCTTATATTACATGAATTACTGGCAGAAGATTGTTACATCACACAGGTGATAATTAAATCGGAATATTCAAATGAACATCTCCCCTCTTCCCCTGCAAAATTCTGTATTTATGATTTTATGAGCTTTGTGTTCTTAA